GAAATTAGGAACCAAAATTTCCTAGTATCGTTATTAATAGTAGCTTGTAGGAGGGGTTCCCAGCATTTTAACAAGAAGGCCTTCTGTTTGTTTTTATAAAGCTGATGTAGAGCCTTTTTTAATTCAAAATACTCAGCTGGAGGGTAGACTAATTCCGAAATCCTATAGGAATGAAACACAGCACGCAGTTGACTCTTCATTCTGTAGCACTCACTATCGAACCAGCCCTGCAGAGAGGTTTTCTTTGCTAGTTGTTGTTGCTGTGACATCAATTTCAGTGCCTCCGAAACACACTTGACTACTTTATCATATCTCATAGGCCAGTCTACCGTCTTTTCCAAATCATTTAATAAAGGAATAGACTTTTCTACGGTTAAGGAATGAAGAAGATCAGCAACCATTCGTGCTGCCTTATTGGACCATACGATCCTTGAATGCCTGGATGATGCGCTAAGACTCTCTACACCCAGCTGAGTGCCTGTATGGAGTAATGGGGAAAATTCTAAAGTTAACAGTAAGGGGAAGTGATCGCTTTCAACCCGATCCAGTATTGAGAACGCTCTAACATTATCTCTCAGCGCTGGTGTAACTAGCATATAGTCTATTACACTACATCCACGAGGTGAAGCAAATGTGAACTCTCCCGGAAAATCATGGGGAGGTAAACCATTCAGGATAGTTAAATTGAACCTAAGGCATATCTGAGCTAAACAAAGGCCAGCATCATTAAAAACTGCATCTCTGGAGAGTCTCATCCTAGAAAAACAAGGAGGTATGGCATTATCCACTGAGAGATTAAGTCTCTCTACACTCTCTGTTCCCTCCTTCCCTATTCTAGCATTAAAGTCCCCCGCCATGATAATATTCAAGGTTGGAAATTTTTGTTCAAGATCTTCCAGATCTGTCCATCTCCGTCTCCGCTGCACCTGCGCCTTATACGAAGAACTTCAAGAATTGCAGACATAGCTATGGAGGGCAGGCCAGAGAGGCACTAAAACATGTAACTCCAGTAGACCATGTCTGTTCAAGAAACTAATTGATACAGGCAAGTCCAATCTTGTCAGATCTCAGAAGCTAAGCAGGGCTGACCCTGGCAAGTACTTGGATGGGAGACCTCCAAGGAATACCAGGGCTGGAACGCAAAGGCAAACAATGGTACGCCACCTCTCTGAAATGTCCAAGCCCCACTAGGGGTCACCAAAAGTCAACCATGACTTCCAGGCATGCGCGCGCGCGCACACACACACACACACAAGTTCAAAGCCCCACTTTTGCCGTAAAGCTTCCTGGGGTGCTTTGGGTCTCTCAGCTTAAACTACCTCACAGGGTTGTTTTTATGAAGATAAAATGGGGGAGGGAAGGATGGTTTACATAGCTCTGAGCCCCATGAAGGAAAAGCGAGATAAAAAATGCAGTTGATAGTATGGCATTGGTAAGAAGATGATACCATACACAACCTGGTTTGAGCCTCATTGAAGTAACATTTGAATAATCTGGAAGCCTAATTCTTATAAAAAGCAGGTGTGCTGGTAAACATGATTCTTAACTGTATCACACTACAGGTTGGTGTTTACATAGTTTAGTATATGTGGGGATACTGTGCTGCCGAAGCGAGCACAGGTTGGTGCTTATATAGGTCCCGGTCACACGAGCCGGATGATCCGCCGCTGAAGGGAGGCAAATCAGAGCCGGAGCAAAAAGAACCGTGGGAGTGCGATCTGATGTGCCCCCGCGGCTCCGTGCTCCATGCCCCGGCAGCCGATCACACGGTGCACAGCAAACTGGCAGTAGCGCGGTTGTGCACATGCGTGGGATGGGGAACGGCGCCGGCTGCGACGGCCTACTGGCGCTTCCCCAACCAGATGCCTTCCACTGGCCCGCATCATCCGGTAGGTACTGCTGTTTTGGTAGTACCTTTTTGATGCGCGTTTGTGGGCCTAAGGGACAGATCGGGGACGGGTGCGCGCCGCTTCCCAGATGTTGTGGTGTGATCGCACTCGCTTGATGCGCCTCTTGTGGATCAAATCCTCCCGTGTGACCAGGACCATAGTTGATTATTCTTCTTTTAGAAGAAATTTCCCCAAATGTAGAAAACCAGAGGTCAAGGAGAAGAGTTCTAGCCTAACCTTCTGCCTGACATGCTAGTATTCTCAGATCAGGGATATTTTTTGATATGGTGAAATGCACAGTCATTAAAAGTACTCAACTTCCAGAATGAAGTTAACTACCTTGTCTACTGTTTGTAAGAACTAGACCTAAGATGGCCTTGGTTCAGGAGAAATAACTAGAAGGTGATCTCTTAAAGGCCTTTTCATCCATATATGCCTGGATGGTGATCAGTAATGTGGCAGATTTGAGTGTTTAAGTCAGGGGTCGTTTCGTAGAAAAAGAGCTAGGGGAACTCATTAGCATAACTCATTAGCATATGCCACACCCCCTGGCATCAGGGGCCCGGCGGTGGACCTGCAAGGCCAGCGGGAGTGCGAGGAAGCCCTGCCAAGGCCCTCCCTGGCCCCAGGTAACTTACCCTCCCTCTTCTCCTGCCTCCTCCTGGCTGAATGAGGGCTGGAAGCGGGGCGGCCGGAAGCAGGGGGCGGGGCTTCGTCATGTGCCCTGCCCCCCTGCACCTCACCTGGGGGAACTGCGTTCCCCCGCGTTCCCCCCCGAAATGACCTCTGGTTTAAGTTAATCTGCAGTCATGTTTCACTGAGTAGCTGGTTATGCCGAATCTGCTGTTCCATTATATACACTTGCTTTACTTGTGTTTGTTACCAAATAGAATATGCTTAGTAATAAACCAAGCCTCTTCTGTAAGTTTGCTAGCTAGTAGTTGGCAACCAGTGGGATTCTAGGGGGAGAAACGGGAAGGGGGGGGGTAACTGTCAGGCAATGGCCTAACAGCACTGATGGGGGAAACCTAGAAATTGGGTTAAGCCTCTCTAGGAATTGCTGCATACTCTATGATAAAACCATAGAGTTTCTAGCAATTCCTAGAGTGGACTTACATCACTTTTGGGTTTTGCCATCACTTTTGGGTTTTGCCATCACTTCTGGGTTTTCCTCTCAAGTGATGTCACACTGTTGTTCAACAGCAGGTTTTGTACATTATTTTACTCCCACCAGCTGCAGTAGCAGTGACAGGAAATAGGACCCAGGAGCGGAGGAATCCCCTGCCTCCAGAGGAAAACTTGAAAGCCTCTCTGTGAGTAGGCTTGTATGATGGACTCCTGCTTCTTCTTTACTGTGAGGCAGATTTTCCCACCAAAATGCTGCTCCTCACTCTGACTGAGCAGCCTCTTAGTAGCGTATTGTAATAAGAGAATTTTAACTTTCTGCGTGTCCCACCCTGTGATAGACAAGTTATTTGGCTTTTGCCCAGGCCAGAGCTTTATTGTAGCTAAGCAGGAGTCCTCTTATAAATCCCTTTGGAAATGTTACTTGACACAAAGTAAAGTTCAAGCAAGAATGTTGATTTTATTGAACAGGCACGGTTGGGTTAGGAATGGGCAGGGGACGAGAAAGTGAGGTGAATTTTGTTGTTTATACAAATTATAATAATATTTTGAACAGACAACAGAGTATAGTTGATGCTTATTTTCTTAGAGACTCAGTTCTTAACTGTGAGAGGTTTGTTTGTCTTGGCAATTTCTTTCAGCAACAATGTGTCTTAATAAAGTTTCATATAACTATTTTAGTTTCCTGGAAGTACTAGAAGTTAGTATTTAAATAACTCCCTTATGGGATTACACCTTTCCCTTTTGTCTCTTGAGGAGTATAAAATGTTCCACTTTTCACAAACCAAGGGGTCCCTTCTGAGTTGAACCCACTGAATAACTGGGTAAAAAACATCCTCCAGTTTCTAGGAGCAATAATCCTTTTCTGACTGGCAGTTTTCAACCTACTGTCCAGTCTCTTCTGTCCAACCTAAACCCCATTTCTGGAGACTGAATAAATGGAGGAGGAGGAGGAGATTGGATTTATACCCCGCCCTTCACTCGGAGTCTCACAGTGGCTTACAAACTCCTTTCCCTTCCCCTCCCCACAACAGACACCCTG